GCACCTCTGGCATTCTTTCGTTTAGTTCAAACATTTCGATAAGCTTAATCTTTATCTTAAACAGCAAAATTGCCCTTGTTTTCGAATCTAAAATGCGAAATTGAACTGCGAATAAAGAATCATTGCGGAGAGTCGGTAGGTTTTTCATTTAGAGCCGCTTTGTGGTTTCGGGGGCCGGTGATTTTGTTTACGCTAAGTATTCTGAGATCAATGTTATAATTCGACCTTCTTGCCATTTTTACCGTCAAGTGTAATTATTCTGTTAGCTTTTCTTTCCCAACTGCTTGTTTCTTTTTTCTTCGTTAAGGACCAAATAGCTTCGTTTCAATGAAAGCAAATCACTGTGTTTTTGAACTAAGTGTTCCGTGTGTGTGTATATTTCATTGCGTGACTACGACCGAGTTTGATTATAGAATTCAGTACAACCGGTTCTGAGTTGTACTGCATACAGTTGATAGTTTGAACGTTAAACATGAATTACGATCGAAAAAATAAAGCAGTTCTGTATCATGCAGACATTTCCAAACGATATTTTTCGGTTTGCCACGTGAAAATGGTGTTTTACTTTTTGCATGAATTCAAACAAAGGTCAAGGAGCAGTGACGTCACTGGACGGCATTAACGGCCGGTCGATTCAGACGTTACTGACGGAGTAATAACGACTCGAAGTAATCGGATGAAATTCAGGCTAAGTCATGGCATACAAAAGTAAGCAAATTGCAATAGACCTTTTTAGCTGTTGTGTTTTGTTTTTCCATTCCAGACCTCGTTAAATGGTACCCCAGAGAACTGTTTATTTCAAATGTCGTCCTATGCATGTTCATGTACCTGCATATGTATGTATAATTAATGAAAAGACAAATGGTAAATTCCATGGAGAACATCACGTGGTCTGAGTTGGGAAAACAAAACATACAAGCTAAAATTTAGGTCTGTTAGACAACAGTCATTCCTTTTACTGCATCCTATTTGGTGTCGCGAACTAAAATTCGCCATAAATCATGGTGTCATGTCAAGTTCTGCCCCCCAAGTGTTTCTAGTAACGTGACAAGCTTTTTTTCCCCTCCTTTTAGATATTAACGAGTGTAGTACTAACGCTCATAAATGTGACGCCAATGCTTTCTGTGGTAACTTTGCGGGTTCTTACAACTGCACATGCAGCTCTGGATATATTGGAAATGGAACATTATGCACTGGTATATATATTATACTTACATATGCTCCCACTCTTGCGAATGGTTACGTAAGAGAACGTTTAGTTAACGGATTATGGCTAAGGAAAACGAGAAGCTGACGGTAAAACATCTGAGAGAGCTCTGGGAAAAAGAGTTTTTGCCCGTTATTTAGTCTGGAATTGAATCGGTTAAAGAACAACTTCAATCGCATTTCATTCAAAATAATTCCTAGTTTAAAAACAAAGCTAAAACATGCTTACCTCCATCGATCCATCGATGTTAAGCTCATCTTCGATAATGCACGTTTAGGGTTGTTCAGCTCCGCAAAGATTCTCCAAATAGTAGATGTCGCCTTTCGAGTTGTCTTCTTGCTGTTCTTGCCATGTTTTTAGCTATTATTTCGCCTAGTTCTTACTCTTGAAACGAGTGAAATGTCCGCCATTTTTGTTTCCACAACCAAAACAGCTCAACCTCGTCCCCAGGTCTTCTCGGTTAACGGTGCATTAACCTGCAAAAACTCTGCATTTTTGACGTCATTTCCTCGCTAAACACAAAATTCTTCCAAATTTGGTCATCAGTAACTGGTTATGTAGAATTAAACGTGTGCTTTTAGCCAATCAGAATCGGGGAAATATTTTGAAGGAATAATAATACTCATTAAACATATTATTATTAAACACAGTATTCCTCATTAAACATATTCCTACCACTAATTTCTCTCGGTGGCTACTCTTGACCATAAAACGAGGAGGTTTTATCTAAAGTAAATAGAGGAATAATTATGAGAGAGCCGTTTTTTTGAACGCGAACCTGATGACTTCCATTTTTGAAGGAGCTTGGCAATCTGGCTTGTTTTGACTTCGGGTTTGTTTTAATTTTCTAGTGCCTTTTACCAGGAATTTTACAACAAATGGAGCCACGGGGCGACAAGGGATTATTCAAACATTCATGGTTCCGCACACTGGTGTATATCTGATAAAGGCCTGGGGTGCCCGAGGAGGAACACACTCGACAAACTATGGATTTTATCCTGGAACGTACCATGGTGGTAGAGGGGCAAGGATGCAAGGAACGTTTACCTTGAACAAAGGAACTGTACTGAATATTGTGGTGGGACAAAGAGGAGGAGATTCAGTAGAGGTACAAGGAGGACAGTCCACTAACTTGACAGCAGCTCAGCTGGGAAAGTCCGTAGAGGACAATGCTGGAACTGGGGGAGGGGGAGGCAGCTTTGTCTATACAACAAGTAACGTGCTTTTTTTAGCTGCCGGAGGGGGAGGGGGTGCATCTAGTGGGTATAACGGGGTGGATGGTCAGGCGGGTAC